TTGTATCACGTGCAGCCTGGTGCCGGATGCACCGGAAGGCTTTACTATATTGACAGGAGAAGCAGTTGTAATTAGACACTGCCGTCGGACAACATACAGTAGTTTATAGATTTCATGTCAATCAGGTTGGGTCCGGATTAGCCAGCAGTTGGGTCTGGATCCGGACCTAATCCGTGACCTCTGGCCTAGTGGTTAGAGCAGTGCGCTTGTGCTCTGAGAGAATGCAAGCACCCGGTTTGATCAGCACAGCCTCCACTCTGGGTTCATGAGCAAAACCCTTAACCCCGCTCTGCTCCCCGGGCGCCACACAATGGCAGCCCACTGCTCCCCAAGGGGATGGGTTAAATGCAGAGTTAATTTCTCCATTATGAGATCATTAAAGTTCAATTCTAAATAAAGCTGAAACTATCATTCCAGCTGCAGCATGTAACCCCTACAAATTTAATGTCTGTCTAGTAATAAACCACATATGTAATAAATATATACTGTAGATTCCCCACAAATGAAAGGCTGCTGCCTACTACAAATGGGACTTCCCACTAATGTAATAACCCTAACATTTGCAGAGATGTATTACATTTATGGGGAAGTATTTAACTTCCCCATAAATGTACTGATGCAATTAGTAATTGCATTTTGTTTGTTGTGACTGTGGTGCATTAACTTGAATAAGCTGCATATTGTTGTTACATTTGTGGCTCATCACGGAGCTACACAGCCTCTTACATCTTTAGCTCCTGCTATGAAAAGCAGTCAGAAATGTGTGAACTTTTTTTGTTTTGTTTTTTTGGTTTCCTGTTGTGCCAATATAAGCTCTGGGAGTATATGCTTATCTGATAGCCCAACAGATTGGCTTTTACAAGAAGAACACGATTATGACTGTTGCCATGAGGTTCTGCTTGATACTTGTATATGAAACTTTATTGAAATTTTTTTAGGGAGTGAAATCATATACAATGGACACGGAGATGGAAAGGGAAGTGAGAAAGAAAGAGGATATAAGAAGTAAGGGGAGAGAGTGGAGACAGGACAGAGCACATGAAACGAGAGGGAAAACTAACAAAAAGAGACAACACAGGATATACTGTTCTGTGCAACATCTTTGAAATTTCATTGTCTTTTGACAATTCCTGTATTTCAGTGTATAACAGCTTTTATCATTTAGAAAACAATTTTAAGCTGAGATCATTTGTGTTGCAGTCTGTATTAGAGGTGATTTTTCACATTTTATCTCCTCCAGTTTAGAATACTGTAATAGTTTTAGTTTTTTTAAACCTCAATCTATAAAGAATGCTACCTGAAAAAGCTAAACAGAAGAGTACATATAACTCTGTGTTCTTGCCTCCCTACATCTACAGTACATCTCTATGTGCAGTTGAGGATGATTTAAAATCCTGGTTTTGACTTTTCAGGCAGCCCATGGGCGGGCCACTAAATACATTTTAGACCTTTTGGAGCTTCTAAATGTGTCTAAAACTCTGAGGTGTTTGAGACAACTGCTTAGAACTGGTTTTAAAACCTATGGAAACTGTGGCTCCAGGCGGTGGCTCTGGAAAGCTCTCCCAAGATCCACCAACACTGCAGCCTGTTTTAAGAACAAACTAAACATTTTTATGTAGACAGACCTTTGCTGTTTATATAAGTTTGTCTTTTATAAATCAATTTGTGATGTAAATCTCTGTAAAAGCTACCATAGAAATAATGGCCCTCTTGTTTTAAATTAAGAGACAATGTGTCATTTCCCAGAGAAACAAACTTCATGAAAGGAACTTAGCTATATCCACCAGCATGATCATTTTCAGCTTAACTGTATATAAAGCTTTTATCTAATACATGATATCTTCATTTCATTTTGAGGTTTAATAAGGTATCTCAACCTTCAACTTAAAGATCCAATATAATCCAATATATCCAATATAAAGCATCTCACTTGTTGACAAACGGCATGAGCCTATCACTTCAGTATAAGCCTCTCTGAATGAGCTGCCTGAAGAGGAGGTAACTAATTAACTCAGTTACATTTATAGGGGTGATTTTTTTTTTTTTTTGTATTTACTTTTTGGAGTAGTTTTACTCTACCGTACTTTTAACTTCTACTGTAATTTTTTGGGGTGTTTTTTTTGTGCTTATTTTTAAAATATGATAAAGTATCACTACTATTGCTTGAGTTATATGTCTAACATCTCTAGAATAACTTGGTGAAAGGCAAGATTTTTTAAAACAAAACTGCACCAAAGACAGACACACCAAAAGTTTATGTTAGGCCTATCATGCCAAGAAATCTCCCCCTGAAAATCAGTAATAAAATAAATCATGATCACTGCAACAATTAGTTAGGTGTAAGTACAACCTTTTGGTACCAGTCTAAATGTAAGAGATAAAAGAAAGTGAAAACACTATATTGTCATTGAAAAAAATAAACAAAAATCAAATTTTATGAGCCTTAACTAAAGTTTTTTTTTTTTTTTTTCTTAAATAATAAACAATTAAAAACTCTTATCAGACACCCCTGATTGTATTTATTCATATGTTCATTACAACTGCTGCAAATAAAGACTGAATCAGTGGAAGCATATTTGATCCACAATGGATTAAGTGGGCCACACAACACACAAAGTGTTTTTTAGTTCATTAAAGAGTATCTAATCTACAAAGGTGTAGATTTCCATTGCATGACTCCTTCTGACATTTGGTCACAACAATTCATGATGCTTATTTTCATAAAACAAACTGTTCGTAAAACACAGAGGTTACAAAAGCGACTAGTTGAAAAATCTTTCTGAAAAGAAATTACGAAATCTGCCAGTGTCAGAGAAAGTCTTGCGATGGGTTATTGGAAAGGTATGACTCTCTAGATGAAGGCAATGAGGGTCAGAACAACAACATATCTGGATCCTAAAGCATTTTTTTCAGAGGAGTTCACCTTGTTTGAAAAAGCCTTAAATTGCAACTTATGTGTTTCAAGTTCTACTAGTTCCAATCTACTCTGTACACCCAGAACTAGAACCAAACATGGAGAAGCTGCATTTAGTTCCTAAGCCCCACTGATCTGGAACAATTTCCAGATCAGTGGGGCAGAATATAAAAGAGCTGAATGCCTGAGTTATTTAAACCAAAGTTAAAATCCCATTTGTTTAGAGCTGCCTCTGACTGTAGAAAAAAAGTACAGATACTTGTGTTAAAAAAATACTCTGGTAAAAGTTGAAGTACTGAG